TATACAGCAACTGCTCTCTAAATGCATCTTATATGCATCGTTTATGTTATTCAATGAAACAGTTATCAACTACCTTAGTAGTGTATTTATTTATCTATTGATTTATTTAATGTATTTTATGTCCATTATTACTGCCTTTCAGCAAAACAATCAAACAGACACATTATCAGACAGGTTATGAGATACATCATAATTATATAGGCATATTAGTATTCATACATGTTTGCGGGTAAAAGTATATCGATGAAAAAACTGAGAATCAGGGTAGTGCACAAACTAGTCTGGAAGACATTTACTGTTATGATATTGAGGTCAGTATAAATATACATCAGTGTAACCACTGTTACAGCAAGCAGGTGGTTATGGAACCATACAACTTTGTACTCCCTCACATCTGCCTAGTAACTTCATGTAACTGATATAGCACCAGGTCACGTTTTATCCAGTGGGTGCGATGCTATTTACTCCGTACATATATTGTATTTTCTCATTCACTGGTAAAAAGCTATTATGATATCATTAGGTTTTTTGTTTGATACCTCATCTCATTGTAATGTTATAAACATGCAAGAAGGGGGAGGCAGACAGTATCATAAAATTGTGGGTTTTTTCATAACTAATCAAGCTACTATACATGGCCATGTGGTAAATCAACTCATACAAGTACGTCCATGTATAAGGTTACACACATACTGATATAAGCTGCTGACATATAATAAATGGTTTATAATGATTTTTGTAATGACCAGGCTCTAATGAATTCTCTCCTTAAACATTACATTACTTTATATGCAATTCAAAAGAGGTTTGTACATTCAGATAAACACTACCATTTATGCTAAAACAGCTTATATATCTCTAATAACATGGTTGATGCCTTCAGAATACCTGAAGTGAATAGAAGAAATAAGCATGGAGTGAAGTTAAGACTGGGGATAAGATGGGGATGGTGAGAGGGGGAGGGAGCACCTTTGATAGAAATTGAAATTTGAAAAATTAAAGAAAAAAAAAACCCACAAAAAACTGTCTTTCTAAAATATTTCAAAGTCTTATTCAAACCAGGTACCAATGGCTTGGCAGATTGATGAGAAGTGAATCCTAAACTGAAGAACTTTTGATTTTACCATGTTTTCAGATCACACTTTGGTTGAGAACAATCACACACATATAGGATAGGAGGAAAGATGTCAGAAGTACTGTAATCATCTCATCCTCCCTCCCAGCCAGTGGTACATTTCAGTATGTCAAACTCACTTGTGTACTAGAGAGGGGTGCCAATATCTATAGGCTATACAGGGAAGGGGTGCTACAGGGACCATCTCAAAACCAAATTACATTGAAAAAATTAGGTTCAGACACTGATTCCACCTGATAACTTACTTAAGATATTTCACTGGTAATGCATAACAGTTAAATTTTGATTTTGCACTGGACTTGTACTATATGTAGAGTTTTATCAAGATTTATGGTTTTTGATGAGCCCGGTTTTCTGAAAGACTTCATGGGAGCTGATACTGGGCATTATCTTAACAGAAATTATTTCATATTAAAAAGGCAAATTACCAAAGTTGCAATTTAAACCTTTAAATTGTTGTCCCCCTACTGAATGTGATATTATATGCCAAACAAACGTTTTCTTTTATGTAGGTAAAAGGTCAAAACATAGGTCAGAGATACCTACTTCTGTTACACACTGCCTTACCAAGGTGACCCATACCCAAAGTATGAAGTTCTAGTGACAAGTCAGTCTGTGATTAATCTAGAAAAATTTTACTTCCAGAAAAGGATAGTATTTCTGACGTGTTATGTGTTCCCTGCTGAATATAAACACACTCCCCTCCCAGTAAATATACTAAAAACATGGGAAATTTCCACAAAATAGAGCTAATTAGTGTATGTTATTCAATATATTTCAAATCATACCATCATGAAAAAGAAATATCAATCTAACCTCAATGTTATCAAATTTTATCCACGTTATCTTCATCAATGTCATATATTTTTACCCTAGTCCTCTTTTGAATTGTAACCAAAACGGATGTCCAATATTTCTCAATTTTCCAAAATAGGCCTGAAATTCCCCTCTATCCACAAATGGTAGTATTTTTCCTATTTTAACTCATTCAATGCAAGTAGTGAAGGATATGAGAGCAATTGGCGGAGACAACAAACACAAAACTACCCCCACCCCCACCCAGGTGAGATACTAATACAGTACTAGATGAAGCCCATTTTACCTGATTTTCTTATTTCAGTGCAGGAAACTGATAGATTTGTTTATAAAGGATTTTTGTAAGTATTAGGAATTATATATTGTATAAGAATGATACTGTATATGTTTATTGTATGTTGACTGGATGTATTGCCCATGAAGAGCTAGGATCATTTTGAGTATCGATCCTTGTAGTAGCTTGTGGCAACCACACTGAACAGCATAAGAGAGGCCTGTCGAATGCCACTCAAAGCAATAAGAACGAAGTGTCTTGCCCAAGGACACAACCAAGTCAACATAGACCAATCTGTTTCTCAGCTTCCTAAGGAACACTACCTGTCAACAGTGGATAGTTAGTGTCGAACCATGTACCTTGGTTCTTCACCCGAAGTCATCAATGCTCTGAGCTAGTGAGCTGTCATGGTCCCACAATTTTATAAAACATCATAAGATGGCATGGCATGTATTGTTATATTTTGATCCCTTCACATATATAAATATGTATACTGGTGTGAAAAACAAATACTAGGTGTTGGATATTTGTACATGAACTCATAAACGAAAACTCATTATCATATAAGTAATATCAATACATTTTCCATACACAAACAAATGTGGACAATCCTATTTAATGTAATATGATATCATAATATCTTGTTTTTAAATCTACGTTAATCAGCATGTTAAGTATTTAGTTATTAGAATTAATTTGAGTTATCCTAAGGTGACAAGTGAATTTATTACAAATATATAAAACAATGAAGTAGCTATTCAAACTCAAAGAGTCTCAGTACAAATATATATTGTAACATTAAGTGTCAGATATATTTTTATCATTTTAGGTACCATTTTATCCAGGGCTCTCTATCTGCCAGATTTGGGGCTGAATTCCCAATGCAAAATACGGGTAGTATCTTTTTTTCCCAATTTAGACCCCAAGTTTCCCCAATTCTAAGGAAAACACCATTATTTTTCCCAATTCTAAGGGCCCTGGGCCCCAGTTCCAAAATTGGGTGTGAGAGCCCTGTTATCATAAAGTTTTTCCCATGAATGTTTTGCCAAATTCTAGTGCTCAGTATATCTTCCAAGATCTGTAATATGTTAATGACAGATAGCTATAAGCATGACTGCCCCATTTTTCAACACTAAAGGGGATTTAAATGTGAAGAGGTAATGGTCATATTACAAAAACATAATCAATATTCAAACCATGACAAATATAATGAAACACTACAGGGATTCTAAAAGGTGGTGGTTAGTGGGGGGGTTTATTATAAATTAACACTAGATCTAAAGTCATACAAACATGATGCTATATAGAAGAAACCAAATATTTGTGTCTATAAAGTACAATACATGTCCATTACATGTATATCTCTCGACATGAAAATGTTGAAATACCCACATGTTAAGTTGTCATATTTCAGTTTAAAGGAAAACAACAAATAAATATGTAAATGTACTACAATATTCTTGACAGAAACATATATATATTAAAATTTTAAAAAGCTCCAACATTCAATTTATTCTGCAGCCCCAAGTGATGACTTTCTGGAATCTTTATGAAAATGAAAAGTCTGATTTTAATCATATTGTTTAAAATACCTCAGTTGTCATATCATTGATTACAAGGAATTTGTACTGAAGAACTTAGTGATGACTTTTTGAATCCTAATGTAAATGAAACGTCTGATTTCAACCTTATTGTTTAAAATACCTCACTGTTGTCATATCATTGATCACATGGAATTTGTACTGAAGAACTTCTCATTTACCTTTTCAAAGGCTTTTCTAAACAGTTACATAAACATTCATAAGTAAAGTTTGTAAATCTAAATACACTTTAAATGGTGCACATTATTTAAATGATGAGAACTCAAGAAAAAGTTTTTTTGTTTTTTTTTCTTTTTGTATAGGACTTCGGAAAATATCAAATTCCTACAAATGACAGATACATAATGTACAAACATGCTATTGAACTTAAGTTTTGACATCATTTGTGACTTATAATAAATATATCTAACATTAAATTCAAAGACAAAAAGCTTTTTGTCAATGCTAATGTTTAATGGTTTTTTCATTTATTTAGCTGAAATGTCAGTTGAATAGACTGGTCGAATAATGTTGGATTTGTTTATGATGCTTGACATTTGTTCATGAAATAACATTAAAAACAAAACACCAAAATAGGAACACAATGCAGTGATGCTTTTTGAATAGAATACATTTGAATAAAAATTTCAAGTATTACATACATCAATGAAGAACGTGGACAATGAAAATGAATCCAGCTTATCTCGCTACTGAATAGGTATTCCATCCGTAGGATGTGATGATGATAATGATCAAGATACTAGAATAAAACTGAATTTAAATCAGCTTTATATACGCTTCGTAACATTTTCGGTCATCATATGCAGTTATTTATTTTTATAATGAAGCTAAGCTAAGAATAAATAACAACTTGACGGAATTATGCACTTTCAACAAAAATCATGAAACCTGTACCGTTTTGAGACGACCCACCACTTAGCATCACTGACGCAAATTCAGCATCCTGTGTGGCGTGTGTCCATTGTGTATATCAATGACAAACTTAACTATTACTTGATCGACAAGAAGATACTTTCATTGATTAATATATTCATTAAGCGGCAAGATTTAAAGTCGTGAAAAAGGTTGGCAGTATGTTAAAAGCATCTTAAGACTTTCCTGTGGGAAAAGTTCATCAAAACATACTTCAGCCCGAGTCCATGACCGGAAACTTTCATTTAATTTGCCACTTTACCTTCCCTCCAGATCCATTGGCAGTGTCGGGTCGTACCCGTTTGTCGAGTCCATCATCATAGTAATGGATGAGTCTTCATAGTGTTAGAATACCTAAATTACATCCTATCTTGATCCATGTTGTCAACATTTCCATATGAGCGCTAAAATCAAAACTGTTTATAATACAATGGAGCATGCGCAACATTCTCAGGAACCTCTCTATTTCTTTATAACATGAGAGGTCATTCCAAAGAGGTTCCGATAAAATATTGCCACACAATATAAGGGAGGGAACTCGTAGAAAAAAAATGAATACAGTATTTTTTTATTCTGCGTTTATTTTGAATTCATCTTGACACAAGGCACTGAGATATCAGGTTGTAGCTTTCACATTAACTAAACATGATTCTGTCATTTTACTGTGAAATGTGTTAAAAATATCACGAGCTATTCCTTTGTGGTGATCAAACAACAAGATATTTTAATTGCGTACTAATATATTCATATGGTCTGTTTTGCCCTGGTTTCAACTGTCGTCTACTTTAAGATATATTAAATTTAAAAATAAATTATCCCATTCTGTATTCTTTTCCATTCAAACTTACTGAATACGTCAAATTTTGGAAACTTCAAATTCATCAAATGACAAAGAGATTTAATATAATGATACTTTAATATATAAACAAAATCCATGTTAGAAATATATTCTGAAAGACCTTTCATGAAGAGGACATGTTTTGTTTCGTGATGAATAAAGTTTTAGAGATTTAATCCATTGATATGAAAACTTTGCTATTTTCACGTATGCTTTATAAGATTAGCATTATGAATATATCATAATTTTTTTTTCTCACACATCAATGATGCCAAATTAGATCTGCCACTGTCCATTTCCGTGTTCTGTTTTCAATTATTATTCTGCTTGATTATACCTAAATGTACAGCGCAGTAAGTTCAAATCTAAGACACAAGCTTGATGTTAAAATAATTCAAATAAAATCAGTAAACAACACACGTAACAACAGTGTTCACAAAGTCTTGTTCATTATTGTGGTCTATTTGGAAAAAGAATGAGTGAAAATATCAAAAATTTATGGTATTGTTCATTCATATTTGCATTGTAAAAGTGCTATATATTTTACTGAGGAAAAACAGGTGACAAATGATCTGTTCTGGTTTCTGGTTATAATATTGTCACAGTACGAGACAATTTGTAAATTAATTGTCACATAAATAGTAATATTTAAGTATTTGTTTCCATATTCTATTATTCGAACAGTATATTTATACATAACTGATACACATAACTTCTGCTTTAAGTGGGAGGAGAAAAGTACACACATTCTCAAAATGTGAAAAAATAAGTACAATATGTAAACATATAAAAAGTAAACAAGTAAATTAAAACAACTGTATTACAGCAAAATGTAAATCACAGATATCAACAAAAAAGTAACATATCACTTAAAAACAAAAACAGAAATAGTATTCAGTCAGTATTTAACATAGAAATAGGCCTAAATTTGTCATTGTTCAATATGTTTTATCAAAGTTTAAGGGACTTGGTATTGCTGAAAGTATTATAGTACTGGTATATGTCAAATTTTCTATGTCCACTGACACTACAGGTTAAATACTTGACCTTTCATTTTCCATACTAATTCATACCTCTATATTGGGTGTTAAAACCAAACAGAATGAGTTGATATCTAATATTTATTAAGTCTTTCCCTATGATGAATGGATCAGATTTACAACCTCTATCTAAACAAGTTTCCAAAGTTCACAAAGAATGTTTCAAAAAAGAACAAAGGACCATAATAGAATATTTTCTGTAGGTTGGTAAGGTCAATTGAATAGAAGTTTTTATAACACAACTAGTAGTGGTCGTGTTATAAGAACTTCTATTCTGTCTTCCGTATTTATGCTTTTTTTAGTATGTGACATCTGACAATCTACCTTCCATATTACCCCGGGTAACTAGCTAGGTGACTCTTTGTGACATTGTAGAGAAAGTGATGTAGTGGGCAACCAGTATCAAAATCAAACTGAGAACCATGGGTGAACCTGTGTGGAACATTATAGATGTATTATCACAGTAAGACAGCATTAAGTGTTTGGACATAGAATGATAGACCTCTCATACCTTTGCTACTTAAAGAATATATCACATGGATTTTTCTTTTGCAGTGATGCAAAACAATTTTGAGCAAATTGTCTAAAAGGAACAAGTTCAGAGTATTAAACTATACATGTATTCATACAAGAAATGATATAAAAATATTACAAAAGTGGTTTTCCTTTTATAAAAGTACACAAAACATATCAAATGTATAAGAAAAACAACAAATTCTTAGTGCATTTCAAAAGGCATTTCTACATAATCTAGTTTTATATAAAAATACACAAAAAACATGCCAGTAGTGAGTTCTAGATCAATGTTGATAGTCACACTGACATGACATGAATTCAAAATATGGATCACCTAAAATCTAATAAATCTATCTACTAGGTTATATACATTCTCAATAACACTTGGAGATTACGCTCTACTATGTGGAGATAACTCCTGTCTAAGTGGAGATAACTCCCTACTTAATGGTGATAATTCTCTACTAAGTGGAGATAACTCCCTACTCACTTGTGATAATTCTCGACTAAGTGGAGATAACTCCCTACTCAATGGAGATAACTCCCTATTAAGTGGAGATAACTCCCTACTCAATGGAGATAACTCTTACACAATGTAGATAACTAAAAATAGCCACCCTGTTAAAAGTGTAACATCACCCATCGCATAAATCTTCCTAATTACACATGTGTAATATAACCTAGCAGAGTTGTGATTGGCTGAAGGTTCCATTGTTTCCATGGTGACATAACAGTTTCATATACAAATCATGGACTCATTAAAGAAAGAAATATAAGTTGGAATTTCCACAATTTAGATTTTATCTTAGTTTAAAGAAATGTTGCTTTATCTTTTAATTTTTGCAAAAGTATTTAAATTATGTCATACACAGAATCTTGCATTCATTTCAATTTCAAATGAGGTTTATGAGTACTATCACAGATTTTTCTTTTTAATGCTAGAGGCTTGGTAAAATTAAAAGTTCTCAGGATTGTTTTATAAATTTCCTATGAATGGAAACTCATATTGTCAAATACCCAATGTATGATTATGAAATAATGTACAATATGAGATATATCTTGGAAGAATATATTGATTTATAAAAATGAATAGAACAAATGGATAAATGTTTTCTGTGTACATGATTGTATGTAATATTGAGCACTTTCATTTAAGATAAGATTATCAAACTGATGTACAATATTCAAATCGACTTAAACAACAACTTAAAAGGAGTTATCTACCCTTCAATATAATAAGATGTGTATACTCGTATTACAATTGTAATGAATGATATGTATGTAACATCTATCCTACCTGTATGAGGTATTAAATTTTTTCCCTCTCTAATTAATGACAATATAACAGTAGTCAATCATCATAGATATATAGATAAAAAAAACATACTTAGTTCATTGACCATAAACAATGTCTCTTATATACTACAAATATTCTCTTATGAGAATTTTTCTTAACCATACAATAGATGGCATCATGTAGAAATTACCAACAAACCAAATTTCCTCTATCAAACTAGACAGAGTTTTTGGTTCTGTTTGACAGATGACTAAAAAGGGTATTATCTTCTCAGAAAAAAAATATCTATGTCTAAGTATATGTTCAAAGTTAAAACATTTAATATTATCAGTTATACAGGCACACACTGCAATAAAGTTTAGGTAGAAAGCACTTAAAATAAAACAAACAAAAATGGTTCATTGTTGCCTCACATCCTATTAACAAAAACTAGTACACATTTTCTTTATAAGTGATTAATATTGGTATATCACAAACAGAAGTGTTTTCCATTGTTCTTGTCTTGGTCATCTTCATAGAAAATCATACATAGACTAATTTGTAAATTACGATGTCATTGCAAAACTTTACTTGAAAGATATTGAGTATGTGTATAAAAGTATCAAAATCACTTTTTAAAAAAATTATCAAAAGATACAACATGAGAGAGAGGATTTTTTAGAAATGAAATGATACATGCTGTAGTATAGAAATATTGCAAATCCACTTATGTAATACAAAGAAGTAATGTAGAAATAGAGGTTTTGTCTTAATATTGTAAAGATGATTATTATGCAAATATCAAAAGAAAATGAACTTCAGCTTTCAAGTTCCATATCATTCTTATTAAGCAACATCAAATGTTATAAATCTTTGATAAAACTTAAAGGAACCTGCTCCACATAAAAATGACTTTGAGCCTAGAAAGGTAACTCTACTCCTACTTCTCCCACCTTGTCAATTACTATTACACAAAAATAGCAATTAATTGATTTGAGCTCAATTCAATTTTTCTTTCATGATTCCTCAAACATGAATTACCTGTACTGGCAATATTTATAGAGTCATGGTGTAAAAATTGTTTCAAGAACATGTGAAAATTCAAAATTTTCAATTTAAAGCATTCAAGAGAAACATTTCATTAATAGGCCTGTATAAGATAAAGACTAGATATTATTTTCATCCAGTGGGACATATACATAAACAATCTGTGTATATAGAATTTAAAAAGCACATAGAATTTCAATAAATAAAAGTTAATGATAATAGTCGTCAGACTGGCTTTGATGTATTTTTTGTGAGTTACTGATTTATTTTATTCTGTCTGTGATAAATTTCAGAAATCTATCTGCGTAGATATCTGGAGGAACAGTAGAATGGTCTGAAGTCCAATTTTTCAATGTTTTCAACACTCTGGCCACTCTCTGCCTACATTCATACTGTGTAAAGAAATCAATGATCCCCACATAGTACCTGTAATCTTCGCCATCAATTACATGTAGAGGATTTCTACAGTTCGGTAAAAGTCGCAGATTAGATGGTTGGTACTTTTCAGACTCCATTGATTGCCGGAGAAGATTTTTAAGGCTGCAAGTTCCAGTGTTGCTATGAACCTGTTGGTTACAGTCATCTTTCTCCATAAATTCTGTCTCAGTTGTCTCCCCTTGTACAGTTGTTGAGGGGGCCTGTTTCTCTGAAACCACTGGTATCATTTCTATCTCCCAGGATGAAGCACCCACTTGTTTTACTGTACAAACATCATTCAATGGGCTCACAGAATTCCGCGATGCTTGTGGCAATGACCTGTTTATAATGCAAAGTTTTCTTTATTATATTACATATAAGTACACAGGAATGTCCTCACATACTGAAATATTTCACTAGCGACATGTGACAAGGAAAACACATAATACTGGAAAGAAAGTCAGAGGTGGGCTTATTACAGGACAATGAATTAATATTTGTTGGTAACTTAAGTACTTTAAATATAAATGGTTTATTATTAATTTATCAGACCAGAGCTTAATGGCGGGTTCAATTCACTGATGCTAATAGATATGTTGGAATGTAAATTCTAATTAATTTTGACTTCAAAAATATTATATCATGATATAGCTGACCAATAGCGCACGTCAAGAGTAGCAGCTTGTCGCAAATATATTCCTTGTTTTTTTCAAATGATGCAAATAAAAAAAACCCTGAACAAAAATATTGCAAAAAAGAGTTTATTTACAGCATTGTTTACATGTTTTGACTCCAGGGTTATGTCCTGATGATGGGTTCACTTTTGGATAAAAAGAACCCCTGTGTTGGACTCCTATCAGCTTTATTGCGTGGATTACCCCAGTGAGACCCCGTGAGAATATCCGTCACAAATGAAAAGATTTAGACATTAAGGGACATTGTGCCTCCACTATTTTTTTGCTCTTAATTATCAAATATAAAAAAACCCATACATGTACACTAAGGAGTAAAACATTCTGTTATGTTTCCAAGTGAATTAAGTTTTACAGTTAAGACATTGACCCAAAAATGTTTTCTGTGCCCAGAATTTGTAAGAGAGCTATTTTGCCAATGAGATATGAGGAGCATGCAGTTTTGTGTCTATAAAGTATACCACCTACGGAGCTGTGTATCATTGGTATATTGGGTTACATGCATTGATATAAAAGTACAAAATGTTGGCAAATCTAAATGGCTTTATATCTTGGCAGTTACTGACGTTCAATATTTTGAAATATGTTCAACAAAGGGAAGTGGTTTTACCTTATATTCTTTCAGAGAAATACGTCGCTACTATACCAGGAGATATTGTCATGACTCTGATGTTGCCCAATAGATACCACAATCACATTTTAGTTACACAGGGCATATTACTGTAACCTTTACTTCACTGGTAAGATATCACTGTCACATTTTTGTTGCAAAGGGGACCTCACTGTCACCTTCATGTCATCCATAGGATATCACTATCACTCTCATGTCACATAAAGGATATGTCTGTCATTTCTGTGTCATTCAGAGAGCTATCATTGACACCCTCATGTCACCAAGGTGATTTCACTTCACTGTAGACCCTCATGCCACCCAGGCGATATTAATGTCAACCTCATATCACTGAGGTGATATCACTGTCACCCTCATGTCACCAAGGTGATATTTTTGTCACTCTTATGTTACCAAGTGAAAGTGAAATATTCATCTGGGTGAAAGTAAATTATTCCTTAGAGTGACAGGAATTTCACCAGGGTGACAGAGGAACTTCATCAGGGTGACAGAGGAAAATTCATCAGGGTGACAGAGGAAAATTCATCAGGGTGACAGAGGAAAATTCATCAGGGTGGCAGAGATATACTGTATTCCTAAAGCTGGTAATGAAATATTCCTCAGGATGACAGTAAAATATTCTACAGAGTGACAGAGAAACAGTTCTCCGAGTGACAGAACAGAGCTGGAGTACATCATAAAAGTATGTGATTGAGATAGAGTTTAGAATTTCATCACAATATGATGTACGTATGTCTGGTTATTCACAGCATAAGGTTTCTTTGTATAATACAGGATAGTTCTACTTTCAACTTAAAGAATTCTCATAGTTATCTTGTGTACAGTCCTCTGCACAATGTATATTATAATGTTTAAACTTGTTATATTTCCATTGTGAATTTGATGTTAGCTTATTATGCATTATGAGACATACTGTTTATCCCCTGGAACCAATCATTATAATGTAATTCTCTCAACAGTAAGCTAGCCCTGGGCTGATTAGTGACATCATACTACAAGGTGGTGGGAGATCATGATACCTGATATTGTAGAGTATCACATGTTCAGTTTGAATGTACACCAAGTAAACGGGACACCTCAGAGATCCCAACAATAGACACCAGACACCACTAAACTAACAGCAGTCTCAATGGACAAATATCTAAATTGATAAACTTTTTGTTAAAAATCATATCTATCAATATATCTAAACCACCTGTGTTAATTCTCAAATCAGGGCAGTCCTTTAATTAAACCAGTGATTCAATTGTTTATCACATTGGTTTAAAGTATGAATATAAGGTCTATAGATATGTTAATTAGTTAAACCTATAGATACATTAGGTAAAACTGAACTTACAGTGGGTATGTACTTCATACTTATGAATTATGATTTTGCAATTCGTCAAGTGATATTCGATACCTTACACAGTAACAGGAACTCAAGAAGAAGCTAAGCATTTCATGACAGTCAAATGCCAGTTACCATAGAGCAGACGGTCACATACAGTGATCATTTAATATCCAAAGACAGCAATGGAGAATATCATTGAAACTAAGTATCGCCGATTCTAACAAACCTCAGGGAGAAAAATGTGCTATTTAAGTGATTCTTTTTCAGAGTGAAAAAAAAAATTGATATATTACCCACATCTTTGTACTGAAGAAAATTTTGCTGTTTAAATTCAGGACTGAGCACTCCAGCAAAGATAAAAACATATCTTTTGTTCAACAAAGTGAAAGGGATTTGGCTGGTGAATGTACTGGATACATATCAAGGTAAATAATTTCACTCGTTACTATTGACCAGTTGTTCAACTTCTACAAATTGTATAAAGACATTATTTAAAAAACAAACATGGCCAGTTTCAATTCAGTGCTTTATATGAAAAAGCCATTGAGAGGAAAAGGAGTTTCAAAATGTCCTCGCCATGTTCCAATGGAAGTGATTTTTACATGTCACGATTGCGAAGGGGAACTCATTTGTAAAAAATGTGCTAAATCATTGCACCAATCTCACAAGTTCGAACACATGACTAAATATTTATCAGCTAAAAAAGAAAACATACAATTGTATGCCCACAACCTTGAGTCTAGACAAATGCCTCAATTACAGAAGGAGATGGACTCCATACAAGTGCAGCTCAAAGAAAACACACAACATTTTGAAAGTGTTATTGCATCAGTGAAACTTCGAAGCAAGGAATTTCGAGCAGAGATTGTTAAGGTGACAAGGAAGTTTATAATCACCTGCAAGAAACTAGAGAAAGAAAATGCAGAACTTCTGAACAAGTACAAAAATGAACTCTATTCAAACTATGTAAAACTGAATTCAAAGCTACAGGAATGTAAACGATCCATCCAGTCATCAAACAGTGCCCTGGTATTTGACTTGGAAAGAGAATTAAGGTATCGCAAACAGGAAGTAGTGCTACCACAACCACCAGAGTTGAGCACAGCTGCATTTCAGCCTCGTCTGTTTCCACTGGATAAGATGGAGAAGATGGTAGGATCACTGACACTAGTAGATCCAGCTGGCATCACAGAAGCCAAGGTTTTAGTGGCCGAGCCAGAAATGGCCCCACAGTATCAGGTCTATGATAAAACCATGGAGGCCAAATTCGAAATTTCTTCCAACATCACATCACTGGCTATCTCCTCATACAATAAAGCGTGGGTGTCTTACGACACTAGCACTGAGGTGATTGGAATTGACATGCGTGGGAGAGTAAAGCAGACAATCGAACAAGACCTGATGGTAGATGACATCAGTCTGGCTCCAATCACAGGAAACCTGTGGATGTGCTGTGAATCAGACCTCAGTATTCGTGAGGTTGTCAAGGGGAAAGCACCCACACTCCCAGGGCGTATAAGGTTCCACACCAAGGACCGACCATGGTGTCTATGTGTTACCCATGACAACGCAGTTGCCGTTGGAACTAAAGGAGAAATAACTCTGTACACACCAGATGGGATAATTCTCCGAACATCAGGTTTTGATTCAGAAGGCAGAAATGTGGTAGTTGAACCGAATCACATCAAGACCTGTCCATTGACAGGTGACCTTGCTATATGTGACCTTGATGACATCACATGTGGAGGCAATGACAGCCCATTTGTTGTTGTCTTAGATAAACACCTGAATTCAAAGTTCCGTTATGAACGTGATACACCAGTAGGAGGTGAGAATCAGGTCTTGACATCAACTGCAAAGTTTGTCACATCAACTGCAACACTACAATCTGCATTCATGCCACTTGATGTATGCTACGACTACCGTGGCCATCTGTTAATCGCAGACTATGAAAATCGATCAATTCTTCTTGTCAGTGGCAGTACAGGACAATTTCTGACCAAACTGCACTTAGATGACCTTCGACCTGGTGCTCTTGCATTACAAGCTGATGGTAAACTTTGGATTGGTTTCCCAGAGGAGAAAATCATCAAGGTCATCAAGTACAAATTGGCAATAAACAATCAGATATAATTTTCATGTTATTTCATGTAAAATCTTCATCCATTAACATGGATACTGAATAAGTGAGAATCAGATGTGTCCTTCCCGGTATATGAGCATAAACAAACTGACTTTCAAAGATCAAATCAAATTCATTGGAAAGCCAAAACAAACTTTAAATGATTGAATTCTAACTCACAGGAATTTGAGAATGTTGTCAATTTCAGTATTAATTGGTGTGTGAGAACAGAATAGTGTTAAGGAGGGTGCAGGATATGATATAGAAAGAGTGTAGATTCTGACTAATCATCAGATGGAAAAGGCGAAGAACATGACTGAGATTTTCGTATAGAGAGAAAGTTGGTTGAGGCAGCTCTTTGGTATTGAATAGAGAGGGTGGAAGAAGAGTGGAGATAAGGGACAAATTACTGGTACGGAAAAAAGACTGTAAGTGAATGGCTGAGGTCTTTCTTGTGTGGAATAGGGAGATGTTGGGAGTGAATTTGTAGTGGCTTACTGGTGTGAAGAATAGTGACAGGGTGGAAGATGGCTTACTGGTGTGAGGAATAGGGACAGTGTGGAAGATGGCTTACTGGTGTGAGGAATAGGGACAGGGTGGAAGATGGCTTACTGGTGTGAGGAATAGGGACAGGGTGGAAGATGGCTTACTGGTGTGAGGAATAGGGACAGGGTGGAAGATGGCTTACTGGTGTGAGGAATAGGGACAGGGTGGAAGATGGCTTACTTGTGTGAGGAATAGTGACAGGGTGGAAGATGGCTTACTGGTGTGAGCAATAGGGACTGGGTGAAAGATGGCTTACTGGTGTGAGGAATAGGGACAGGGTCGAAGATGGCTTACTGGTGTGGAAAAGAGACAGCATAGGTAAATGGATACAGTCTTTCTAGTGAGGAATAGAGACAGAGTGGAGGGTGGGTTGATGGTGTTGTCTTAATTGTGTGGAAAAAAAAAGTAAAGGTGAATGAGTTTTTCAAGTGAGGAATAGGGACAGGGTGGAAAGGAGGTGGAAGATGGCTTGCTGGTGTGGAAAAGAGACTGTGTAGGTGGATGGTTGAGGTCTTTCTGGTGAGGGACAGGGTGGGGGTGGAATTGAAGTGACTTACTGATGTGGAAAAGGGACACGTAAGGTGGATTGACAGTGTCGTCTTTCTGGTATGTAAAAGGGACAGGTAAGGTGGATTGACAGTGTGGTCTTTCTGGTATGTAAAAGGGAAATAGTAGGTGGCTTGAGTTAAGAAAGGCGGGTTGGTAGGGTTTCTTTTTTATAGTAGGGAGAGGGTGGGACTAGTGGGGAAAAGAGAGGGTGAGTGGATTGTTGAAGTCTTCTTGGTGTGGAATAAGATGTTCAGGAGAAATTCAGGAAGATGATTATAATGGAATTTCACATTGTCATTAGGCAAGTGTAATTAAGGGTGTGGAAAGTCCATGATTATTACCATATCACCAGGTAGCAGTTTTGATAACATATATGAGTTGTTTTAAATATTTATTTCTCTGTTCTTCATATTTTCTTTGTAGTACATATATCTTTGTCATGATGTTTTTTAGTAAATTAAAGTTTGATATAATGGTATGAAGTTTGATACTATTTATAAATGAAAATGTAAATTTAAACAGTCAAAATACTCCACAGGAAGTACAGCAGTAATATATATATCTTAAGTGAAATGTTCAAAAACTGGTTGCATAAATTTTGTATGAATTAAAACTTGAGTAAGATCCTCGGGTATACCATGAACTTTCTAAAGCAATATACCCTGAAAGCTTACCTTTCTCACCTGGATATTTGAGTTATTTCAGTAAAATGATCTTAAAAAGTAAAAGTGCAGATAAGTGTCCAGGTCTCAGCACCTTGGAGGACACATCTAATATTGTTACCATGGCCACATTTTAAAATTTATGGTTTTAAATCATAAGACTTCCTGGTATCTGGGATATTTCATAAAAAAATGTTACAATGTGATAATTTCCAGGTGATGTGGGCATTTAAATAATGAACATTCACTTCTTAAAACCAGTGGAGAACTAAATCCAGACCAATATATTTTTAAAAAAAAAACTTGTCTTGACATTTGTTTACATGAGAATATAGTTCTAGTCCACAATCATTTCAATCATGTAATGGCCCAGGACATAGAGTCCTGGAGGAGGAGTCCAGTCTTTAGAAAGTGGGCTACAAACTCACCAGGACAACAACATTTCTGATTTGGCAAATTTTCTATTTTTTTTCATAGTAAATTAGTGAAAAGTTTTGTCCTGTAGGAAATAGGTGTAAATGGTAAAGAATGAAGTAACATGGTCTGAATTTCACTGTTCTAATGAATTTTCACTTCAGCATGCTCATAACATGTTACACAGGACCTGAAATAACAGTATAGTATCTCACATTCCTAATATCAGGACAAGAGCAAAACATACCTTCGCACTCTCTGTACAACACTGGGAAGAGAATTATCATTTCCAGGCTTTGAGCGCTTCTGTCGACCAATCAAAAGACTGTAATCTTGAACTCCAAGGTCACGGAAAAAATTAACATCCAATTTCAACTGCTGCACAAACCATGCTTTCTGCACACCTGAAAATAAATGTGGTTGTATATTAAAAGACATTACATCAGAGGGAGACTCATCATCCTAGTACAGATTTTTCATTTTTATTTCATACTGAGCAAACTATCTATTTGATCTTTAAAAATTTCAGTGACAGAAATATCAAAGGAATTTTACAAACATCTATATTTTGTATTAGTCTTCTACTAAACCGACAAAAAGACTTTTCATTTTAAAAACAGAAATAAAGCAATTTCTGTACAATGTACAATTCATATTTGTACTTTTATAATTTAGTATTTACATTATTTTGTAGTATGATACAAACTTCTGTCAACATCCAGTCTAAATTAAATGGTAACTAAGTAAAATGTTTTCTATTCTTGTTGTTGAATAGTAACTGAAAACACTAACCTCAGTGTTTTTTATACTTGTTGTTGAATAGTAACTGTAAACACTAACCTCACTGTTTTTTATACTTGTTGTTGAATAGTAACTGTAAACACTAACCTCACTGTTTTTTACACAACAAATACTTCAAATCATTAAGTACTGTGAAATCATTCATTTTGCTGGGAGTTTTCGTTCATTTAATGGGTACACTTATTCAACAGAAAGTTATGTCCACCAACTGATTAATATACCTTCTGTAAGTCAATTTTAATTGAGCTATAATTATCCACAAAATTAAGTGTTCACGAAAAAGAATATTTTTGAAAAACCACAAAAACTAAACGCCTTGAAATTTTCTGATTTTACAACATCGAATAACCACAACATATTAACACTGCAATTACATAGTTCACCACAAGTATACATCACATAACGTAACAAATGTTTATTACAAGATTTCATCATCACAAGTATACATCACATAACATAACAAATGTTTATTACAAGATTTCATCATCACAAGTATACATCACATAAAATAACAAATGTTTATAATCACAGGATTCCATCATCACAAGTATACATCACATAAAATAACAAATGTTTTTAATCACAAGATTTCATCACAATAAAATATTTGTGCCTAAATTCTGCTCAGACTTCTATCTAAAAAACACAGACTTACCTAGATGAATAGTCTCGTGTTCAAAATTTTGGTCTTTAAGTATGGTTAAAACATCCTCATCAGTATTTGGCTGTAAAACAAGGAAAGTCAGCAGTATTACAAGTAATCTACAATCTTTCTATCCCTTCCTTCACCTACTTCCTGTCAGCTTTAGACCAAATATCAGCATCACAAGCCAAAGTTGGCATTTGTAAGTGATAAGGTAAGTTTCAGCAAAAGTTACACATAGACAACACAGAGGGGGATCTTAAATGAGTGTCAATATACATGTACCACGTAATATCAAATTCATGAAATGAGTTCAATAATTTGATTAATTAGATTATATTTATCATAAAACCTGTATTTCTGAAAATAGGCAAAAACTTTCCAGTTAATTTCTGTGTAAGACAGACTTATTTTGAAGTGGACAATAAACTTTTCACGAGAGAGATAATTATGTGACATAATCAATATGTGATTTATTCATGACATCACAGTAGTGTTATTACACATGACATGACGAAACAGACCAGTTAGGTGATAAATAAGTCTAAAATTGAAGGCCAATAATACATGTGAGGTATCCTAGGTGAGGGATAGAATTATCACAGACTGATCGACAGATCACAAACCTGCATTCCAACAGTATCAGTGGAACACACATGACCAGTCATCTAAATATTCCTTTCCTGTTTTAGTTTGATGTTATTTCATATTTTATCAAGCCAAAAAAGGAGATTATACTGCTGTCAAAACTGATAATGTATTTATAACATAACATATGGTTAGTACCACAACTGGGTTCTAATGTGATGGACCTACAACTAACCTTCTGATAGCGTCCTCCTAAACAGCCCTTGACATCAAACCTTGTGCCAATGTTACTTGGGGGATAAAAGACACTCTGCATCGTCAGGAAATATATCTGAAGCGCAATGTCAGACATCTAAATTAACACTGAAAGCAGTGTAAATATGATAGACAGGACATTCAAATTTCAAAATCAAATAAGTAAAGCTGTATAACATTTCACTACAACAGTGTAAAGCACATTCCTATTTCCACACACAAGCAGCAATTTATACCAATTTATATCAGTAATACATTTCAACTTCCCAAAATAAAGTTTATTTAATATAACATGATTTAACACTTCAGCTATCTATAATTAATTTAATGCTACAACTCTCTATATCATACTTCAGCAGTACAGTTCTCTATGACATGATTTAGCACTTCATCTGTTTATAACATGATTTAGCACTTCATCTGTTTATAACATGATTTAGCACTTCATCTGTTTATAACATGATTTAGCACTTCATCTGTTTATAACATGATATAGCACTTCATCTGTTTATAACATGATATAGCACTTCATCTGTTTATAACATGATTTAGCACTTCATCTGTTTATAACATGATTTAGCACCTCATCTGTTTATAACCTGATATAGCACTTCATCTGTTTATAACATGAAACAGAATTCTATCTGTGCAACATAACATAGCACTATAGAAATCTAAAACATGATTACGCATTTCAGCTGTCTGCAACATAATTAAGCATTTCAGCTGTTTATGATATAATATAGCGCTACAATTATTTATATGATAATTTAGCATCTATAGCAGGATGTAGAACACCAGTATAAAATGATATGGAATCCATTTGAATATCTAGTGCTATCTTATTTATGCTACAATTGTCTTCTCCATGGTTTAATGGTACAGCAGTCTATTATATAGGGGTGTCTATATCTGGTGTTATATTACCAAACAAAAGATGGAGTAAATGAGTGAGTCCTCTACAACATAAAAAGTTCTCTTTACTTTCATGTTAGATGACATACCTTTGGTTCCCCTTCTATCTGTATAGAGTAGAGGCCAAGGAATTTCACAATGAGTGAGTGAGGATACAACTGGAAATGTTCCAGATATTCACTGGAAAAAACATTATCATATGAATTACATTATATTTGTGCCTTACTAATTCCACCAAAAGATAATCAGATATGGAAAACGAAAAAAATAATGTGTGACTGTTAGATAATTTTTATGAAGAATTTAAATTTCTATCTATTGAGGACATTTCTTCAACAGGGTAAATAAGAGAGAAACATCTCTCATCATCAGATACGTTATTTACAATTTACAATAGAATGCTTACAACAGTTTATAAACATAAACTTTCCCCATGAACAACAGGAAGTACTGACCACAACGAACCCAAATAATGAAAGGAAGTACTGAACACAACTTACCCAAGTAATGACAGGAAGTACTGAACACAACTTACCCAAGTAATGACAGGAAGTACTGAACACAACTTACCCAAGTAATGACAGGAAGCACTGAACACAACTTACCCAAGTAATGACCGGAAGTACTGAACACAACTTACCCAAGTAATGACAGGAAGTACTGACCACAACTTACCCAAGTAATAACAGGAAGAACTGACCACAACTTATCCAAGTAATGACAGGAAGTACTGACCACAACTTACCCAAGTAATGACAGGAAGTACTGAACACAACTTACCGAAGTAATGACAGGAAGTACTGACCACAACGTACCCAAGTAATGACAGGAAGTACTGACCACAACTTACCCAAGTAATGACAGGAAGTACTGACCACAACGTACCCAAGTAATGACAGGAAGTACTGACCACAACTTACCCAAGTAATGACAGGAAGTACTGACCACAACTTACCCAGTAATGACAGGAAGTACTGAACACAACGTACCCAAGTAATGACAGGAAGTACTGACTACAACTTACCCCAGTAATGACAGGAAGTACTGACCACAACTTACCCAGTAATGACAGGAAGTACTGAACACAACGTACCCAAGTAATGACAGGAAGTACTGACCACAACTTACCCAAGTAATGACAGGAAGTACTGAACACTATGTTCCTTATCTGTCTTCAGGATGTACTGCTGATCATTACTGTAATTAGATGTACCAAACATGGAATAACACATTATAAGATAATTTGTGATTTTAAGTGTAATCACTAAAAGTTATAGAGATCAGAATATTTGATAGATGTAAGAAAATTATCCTTTAATAAGGTTAAATACAAATGGACTGTCAACAAAGAATGGTGCTAAATGTAAAGTTCATCCTAAATCAGTAAAACAGGAAGGTAAGCATTGTTTGTTGTTTTGGTGCAGCATGACTTCAGATACATCTACTCATGATGATTAATAGCTATTTAGTATCAGAGCAGCTGACCATCTGTTCTCTTTTTAATATCAATTCTATGTGTTACCTTGATATTTGGTTGGTCTTTGCCACTACTCTTGTATTGCTCTCTTTAATGCAGTGTATAAAATATATAGGATACAAATTTTCTTTGTGGTATTGAGTAAGCTAGCACTGACTTTAATGTACTCTCTCAAATGAACCCTTACAAGTTCCCTGAGAAAAGTTCCCTGCAGCAAGATAACAATAAAGTTATAGAACATTTAATCTGAATAAATATGTCACTTCATCCTGAAAAATAATATGTATACCAAAAGGATTTTGAAGGTGTTACAAATTATTGAATACAATGGCTGATAAAATTTCACTTTTAGTAAAGATTGTAATATAACCCCCTGTTTATAAAGACAAGTACCTGCTGTTAGTCAGCTGCAGTCAAAGTATCAGTTATTGTAACACTGACAACACTTACCTGAGGTAGAAGTCTTGGCCACTTTTAGAGTTACTAATAAACTCCAAATAAGGAAGTGATGGTGGTGCTATGGCCGAGAGATACTCATTCTCTGTTACACTGACAGCTCTTCTTATGGAGGCAAAAACAGGACTGGCGTAACTACAGAAGGTGAAGGTCTGCAACACAGGTAGGGAAGTTGTTATAGAAATACTGTATACCAGAGGTGGTGACGGACAAATGAAAGCCTAGGTGGTGACAGACAATGTATATCCTAGGTGGTGACAGACAATGTATATCCTAGGTGGTGACAGACAATGCATATCCTTGGTGGTGACAGACAAATGATAATCCAGGTAGTGACAGACAAATGATATTCCAGGTAGTGACAGACAAATGATAATCCAGGTGGTGACAGACAAATGATATTCCAGGTGGTCACAGACAAATGATATTCCAGGTAGTGACAGACAAATGATAATCCAGGTGGTGACAGACAAATGATAATCCAGGTGGTGACAGACATTGTATATCCTACATGGTGACAGACAAATGATAATCCAGGTAGTGACAGACAAATGATAATCCAGGTGGTGACAGACATTGTATATCCTACATGGTGACAGACAAATGATAATCCAGGTAGTGACAGACAAATGATAGCTTTGGTTGTGAGAGACAATTCATATCTTATGTAGTGACAGACAACTCATATCTTAGGTGGTGACAGACAAATGAGAGCATAGGTGGTCACAGACAATGCATATCCTAGATGATGACAGACAAACCATACCCTTGGTGGTGACTGACAACTTATATCATAGGTGGTGACAGAAAAATCATAACCAAGGTGGTGACAGACAAATGATAGTACAAATGGTGACAAATAAATCATTCCCTGAGAGGTTGAAAGAAATTATAACATAGTAATATATAAACGGTAACATAAAATTTGTAATCTAGGTGGGAACAGAAATGCCATACCCTCAGAGGGTGACACAGATCCTGAACTGGTCATTTTTCTGTAAATGGAGAAAAACCATTTCAGTCATCATTTAGTGATGAAAATAATGTTTCCAAATTAATAAAAAAAACTGAGCTTCTTATTTACAGACAGCCTAATATTACAGAACATTAATTGTGGGTCTTTTTGAAGAGCTGTAATTAAAGAAGTGGTGTGTCTTACACCTATAATCTTGAGTCTCTCTCGTCTTTCAGTATCAGCAAGATGTGAATACTGGCAGTGAGTTATAATAATTTTACATTACAATAAGTACATATACTTAGGTTAGACAACATGATAAAGCTTACAGTACACACCAACATACAAATGGACATATAGAATAGGTATCTCACGAGGGACAAGATTAGAAATTATAAGGTTATTTTAATATACCAGGAAAGTGTGAGGAGGAGAGAGACGTATTTTTGCTTGTGTACCTTTCCTTTCTTGGTTTCGAAAGATTCTTCTACTTCATGGCTATAGTCATCTGGAGTCAACTTATCCTGTGTCAAAAGAAAACGCATGATCAAAATTTATCAAGTAATTGTAATTTTTAGTATGTATTAATGGTGACCATTCAAAGATAAGAGGGTTTGCAAATGCATGGATGTTAACAGCCATCACGAGATGCAGTGTGTGATTGAAAGTGGAAGTGGTAGGATAGGATTTAGTAAGGATAATAAACTTTATTTATTTTACAACAATTGTGAAGCAAGTTTTTCCAACTTATATTGATCACTCTTGTTGGTCCATTATCACTGCACCACCTGATCATCCATTTAGGATTAGGAGTGTGAAGTGAAAGGATAGGATTTGGTGTGGGATAATAGGATAGGATTTGGTGTGGGATGGTAGGATAGGATTTGGTGTGGGATGGTAGGATAGGATTTGGTGTTGGTGTAAACTAATTCAGGATGGACAGAAGGACACAAAGATGACAGAAGCAGAGTGATTTGAATAGCCCATCATCTGATGATGTGGCTGTAAAATAATGAAACATTTGGCTAAAAGCATTACGTTTCATTTTATCATCTGTTGTATTTGAAGTCTTTAATTACCTTTGGTGCAAGTTCTGGATGTTTGAGTAGGAGGTTACGTATGCCCTCTCTGATACAGTTGAGCATTTTATATCTGTGGTGGTCGATGTCAATCTCCACGACGCCACGGCGCAAGAGACGTTTGCGGAGACGTACCCACAGACTACTCTTTCCTCGAGCAGATCCTCCATTAGCAGAGGGATCGTCTGACATGATCTTGCCTGTAAATCATCATATCATAGTTACAAAAAAGCATACCAAAAACAAATAAATGGTGTGTATAAAGAAAAGTTATTTCAGCCAAAGTTGAAAAATCAATTATCTAAATGTCTCGAGTGTATTTATGGAAATATATAATAACATGCATCAGTTATAACATACATATTTATTATTTACATTACAGAAAAATATTTCTGACCACAATTGAGTCATTATATCATTTCTGATGAATTGTCCGTGAAAATTATGACTTTATATCAATCGTTTTCAAAGACGACTTTTTTTGGCAATATACAAGTATATGTGTAGTAGACACACCTACATTTCTAACTCTCATTTCAGCTCATACTTAATCATTCTGTTATTACAAACAGCAACAAGAACACAAGTACATTTGTTAAACATATTTAAGATACATTCAATATCACAGCTAAGGGTTATTAGCTTTATCTGGTGTGACAGATAAAAAGTAAGGCCACGCTCACTCTGTACAAAATGTAACTGTTGATGTGTTGGTATAAATCAAAATCTACCATTTGTTCCAGGAATGTATGGGTGTCACAATCAACAACATCAGTGTTAAAGTCACCATTGATGTTTTTGATTGCGACACTCATACATTCCTTAACCAAATGGTAAAGTTTGATTTACACCAAATGGCTAAGGAACCTACACATGTTGTTAAAACAAACAGTCTGATTGACCGTATATATGTTTCAGCACCAGAATACACAAGAACTGTTAAAGTGGAAGTAGATTGACTCAGTGACTATTATCCTGTGTATATTGTGAGAAAATCCTCATTTGGAACTAAGTTTTCACACCATAGCATTAATTATAGATCTGTTAAAAACTTTGAAGGAATGGCCTTTTATAATGTCCCCTGGTCAGTGATTGAAACATTCTGGGATGTAAACAATGCATTGGATGCATGGATAACATTATTTTTCAATGTAGTAAATAAACATGCGCCTATGGTTCAAAGACAAATAAAACGGTCACAACAATCAGAGTGGTTGGATTATGATATATTAGAAAATATGCAGTTGAGACACAAACTGAAGCATGATGGTCAACCTGACATATAAAGAATACAGTGTAACCATGTTGCTTAGTTGATTAGGGAGGCAAAAGCCATGTATTGTAAAAATGTTATTGAAAAACAAGTTGGATAACCCTAGTAAGCTCTGGAAAAGTATTCATGATCTTGCACCTAAAAAAACTATCTTCATCACCTGTAATGATTCTGGTTGAAAATGAAAATATCTATGATCAAAATGAAATAACAAATCAATTTAACAGTTATTTTACTACAGTTGCAAGAAAACTTACATCATGTTTAAGAAATACAAATGGTACATTTAAAAACTAGAAGAATTTTGTAAATACCAAACTAGTTTGGCATTGTACTTTTTCTGTCCCAACTATCTCTGTTGATTTCATCGACAAATCCTTGCGATCTTAAGATACAAAGAAAGCTGTAGGTATCAGTTCAAAAAAATGTCATGTGCTCATGTAGCACCTTCATTATTATATATAATGAATATTAGTATTTAAAATGGTTGTTATCCTATACAATGGAAAACTGCAAAGGTAATTCCTTTGTACAAATCTGGAAGCAACTCTGAAGTTTGTGATTAAAGACCTATTTCTGTATTATCCATTTTATCAAAAATATTAGAGCGACATGTCCATGGGTCATTTTACCAATATTTGAATACATATGACCTCCTTGTATCTTCTCAATCAGGTTTTCATGAAAAGCATTGTTGTGAAACAGCCCTGTTGAAATGGTTAATAGGTGGGCAAAAGATATTGATAAAGGTCTTGTAAACAGCATTCTTTTCTTAGATTTAAAGAAAGCTTTTGATTTAGTCAACCATGCTGTGATACTTAAGAAACAAAAATTATACAAATGTGATTCAAATACCATAACATGATTTGATTCATATCCTAATGACAGGTCATAAAAAGTAATTGTTGCAAGGAATATATCCACTGACATGAAAGTTACCCATAGGGTACCTCAAGGATCAATTTTGGGCCCCTTGATCTTTTTACTTGTCATCAATGATTTGCCACTACACCTTAAATCTGAAACAGACATGTATGCTGACAACTTGACTTTAACTAACTTGTGATTTTTGTAACTGATACACAGAGTAAACTACAGAAAGACCTTGAAAATGTTGATGTGTGGTGTAATGATAACAAAACCATAGTTAATGTAAATAAAACTAAATGTATGCTGATTGCTTCCATTCAGAAACTTGGGAGACTAAATGACAGTCTCAGTCTTACACAAAGAGGGGAAACTGTGTCCAAGGTAAAATGTGAAAAATTACTTGCTACTAAAATTGATGACAGTTTATCCTGGTCAGCACATATCTCCTTGGTTGTTTAAAAATCAATCAAGGTTTGGGATTACTACAGTGTATTCACCAATTTTTACCAATAGATGGCTGCTTGAAATTTTACAATGCTTGTGTTTTTTCGCATTTCATGTACTGTAATACAGGTATATAGTAAGTTAGTTCCAAAACACAGGGCAACTTATTATTCAAAACATCCTTTATGTATCTGATTGTCAAGAATGGAACAAACTTCCAAATGAAACCAAAACTGAAACATCTTTTTCTATGTTCAACAAAAACTTGTGTGCTATTATTTGAACTCTTTAACAAACTAAAAATTTCTTTCCAATACCAGTAATGTTTTACTCTATGCTATATTAGCTATCTTTTTTTTACACTGAACTATATTAGTATGTATGTATAACAGACAAATTGTCCTTTAATGATCAAAACATTTGCACAAACTTTTGTGCATTCTGTGATACTCTTTGTGTACCTGTGATAAATGTATAATAATCTTATAATTATGTTGTGAGCAATCATATATCTTAACAAATATAATGTTTTACTAACTAGAGGAGCCTGTGGAAGATTAGATTTGGCTAAAGAGGTTCTTAAATCCTCATGAAATAAAGTCTACTATTATTACTATTATTATTATTACGTGTTAAGCTTAAGAACAAACCATATATATGTGTGTACGAGCCCAATTTATCACGCTTTCTCACGTGTAGCATCCGACTGGTCCGGAGGATGATAATCTTCTGTTTGTTTTAATTGAAAGTACATATCTTTGTACTGATAGACAGTCAATGAGTGGTCATTTTACCGACCGACACATTTCAGTTGTCATAAATAACATGGAAACATGTAAACAGGAAGTATTTCCTAACAAAGGGACGTCACTCTAGATAGTATAGTAAGGATTTAAAGATTCGCCACTTCCCAGACTCATGGTAGGTTTCGGTTTGCGAGTGTAAAGTAAAAGCCACCGTCGTCCGAAAAAATAAATGCACAATTTCACAATAGAAGCAACTTGGCGCTTGGTGTGAGGCTAATTGTAGTTCTGATTAACTGAGGCTACTGTCAGTATCATGCATACACGTGTTTCTGCAATTCAGAGTGACTAGTACGTCTGTGCATACATGGTTTTGAAATATACTGATATAAAAGCATAACGTTGTTATATATATGTTCTATAAAATTCATACATATCTGAGTTCACTGTATTAAATGTGTGTATTATCATAATGCCAAATCAATTGACAAATATTTCAAACAAGTTTAAGAGAGTTTCATGAAAGTCACATATTATGGAATTCCAATGAGAATATTTACCGTTAAGTTGATAATTTTTTCATAATAAAGAAAGACAACATACTTGTACACTGTAACCATATAGAAGGTCATCCTAAATACCCCCAGAGGTTACGCTCACTATCGTTCTCTGGTCACGCTGGCTTTGAAGTTGGGTGTTGCTCTTTTGTAATATTCAAAGGAGCATATCTGTTTGTGATTGGTCAGAGCAAAAGTGAAAGTAACCCCTGGAATATTGAGGATGATAGAAGGTATATATCTACATTATTATCTAACCGTAATTTTTCACTTAGATTTCAAGATTAACTTGATGCAAACAAGAACATGTCAATATAATATCATTATTATATTAACTCATTGTATGTTGAAATTTTTATGTCAAGTGTAATATCATATGATGATGCATTTGCACTGCTTTTTCAGAAGTAAGATGGTAAACATTGGATCTTAGTCTCCAGATGGGATCTATTCTAAATAGTCTGTGGAATACAATCAAATTAGAGACATACAAACATCAGAAAATAAATGCTGACTTTGGAGGAGATGGGTCAACAAAAGATCATTTTGGATCATCTGTAGATGGAGAACAGTTTCTAAATGTAGATAAAGAGTATGATAAATTACTCACTGATATCGACTTCAATGGTTACAACCCGACTCCTGCAGCAAAAAGATACCAAAGTATGGTTGACAACTGTCAAAAAATGCAGCAGAATGTCTGCCTAACCGATGTTGAAAGCCAAGTGGAAAGTACGAAAGATATGGTGAAATCAACGATGTGTGAGGATGAGAATAGACTAGGAGGTCCCATGTTTGACCCACCTCTCTATGTACAGAGATACAGCTTCCTGGCAGACAAGCTGAACTCTCTAAATGTACACAGTGCAAGTATATAACTGTCTTTGTAATGTTTGTGTTAGCAACTGATCATGATTGAAGATTTTTCTGTCAAAATTTACATTAAATTTAATTTAATTTATTCTGTAATACCTAAGTAAGGTAGTATGAATTTGTGTCCGAATGAAATGAATGGAAACAAAGTAGAATTAATATTTGTGTTATGAACGTAAAATATTTCAATATAGAAATTTAGCTTGTACAATGATTGAACTTTTGTTTTAAGGGAAATATTTCTGTTTTAATTATTTTCTTATATTTGATTTTTATCTGATATTTACAATATTCAGGTTGTAGACTTTGGTTGTGCAGAATGTCAGCTCTCCAGATATTTAGCTGATATTGCATCTGTCCAGCGGATTGCTTTGGTAGACATGAACAGGCCATTGTTACAAACACATAAATACAACATTAAACCCGCCATATACCACTTCCTGGACAAACGAAATCATCTGCTGACCATACAGATCTACCATGGTGATGCTACTGTAGTGGACATGAGGATGCTGGGATATGATGCTGTCAGTATGATAGAGTTGTAAGTAGCTCTCATACTTACCACACATCATAAATCTTATTACACTACCCAGTATTATGATAATTGTGGTCAGATGAATGTTGACAGGATACTGTATGGTAAATATTGTCAGGTCAAGATACTTGTTCATGAAAAAGTTTGCCTAAAAAAATATTGTCAGCATTTCACTGACCAACTTTGCTGAGTAAAAGGCTGATACACAGTACCATCCAAATACACCCTTATTGTTGATCACTTAACACTCAGACGGAACTGAAATAAAATATTCTATGTACAAGATTTTATTGGAAGGAGTCCAATATGTAACATCTTCATCAAAGTAGAGGAGGTTGGCTTATTACAGGACAATAAGGTTAGGGGGCAATACATAATCATTTAATGTAATTTTACATGTGTATTGGCAAAACATGACATTGATTTTAAAGTAAACGTCTTAAATGGGATGTTAGGAAATGTAGTTTGGATTGATCCTGTGTGTGATTGATTTGAATTAATTTGTTGATAAAATGGAATGATTATGTGAGGGCAGGTTTAGTAAGGTTCTGTGTGTTAATGAATTTATCTTTTTATAAGAAATTTATTGATTTTGTGGGAGAATGAATTGATTCTATGAATGAATTTTTGAAGAAATGGGTTGATTTTCTGGGTAGTTCAGACTTGGATATATTCCTCTCTGATTGCAGTATTGAACATTTATGCCCAGAGGACCTTCATAAAGTGTGTAATACAGTCTTCCATGAACTACAGCCTCGGATTATCGTTGTGACGACACCAAATTTTGAGTATAACCAATTATTTCCTGACGATGGCCAAACATTCAGACATTGCGACCATAAATTTGAGTGGACAAGAAAGGAGTTTCAGAGTTGGTGAGTGTGTAACATACAACCATAACCCATAAATCAAATTTGGTGCATTAATGAGGTTAACTGGGGTAAAATGAAGTTTTACCAAGTTGATGTCTTACCCATAATCGTCAGTAAATTCCATTGTTCCCAACAGTTTCAGAAATCATGATGTTTGGTTATTTTGATGATATTTTACTGCAGTTTTCTTTTAATTTTTTTGGATTTTCCTCATTAGACTGCAAGGTTTCAAAATTTAGGCCCTTAGCATCACTGATGAGCCCTAGAAGGATGAAACAGCTGTATGTTGTAGCATCACTGATGAGCCCTAGAAGGATGAAACAGCTGTATGGTGCAATTAACTTCATTGTTTGGCTCTACTGTATCTAATTCTAAATTGTGTTTTAAGGTGCTATTCACTTTTGTAAAATCTATGATACATATATAATTATGTAACTTTCTTTGTACCAAACATCCAGATTGACATGTGTATGTTTATTATATTAAGGGGTAATCTACAGGCTGGTATCCATGGCTACACCGTCCATTACACAGGTATAGGTGACCCTCCTCAAGAGAAAAGTCATCTTGGTCACTGCTCTCAAGCTGCCATTTTTGAAAAGATTGAGATCAAGCAAAGAACTCCAGTGAACAAATTCCATTCCCACTGTTACACATTGGTAAGATTAGATGTGGTATATGTGATATTTTATTACATTCCCACTGTTACACATTGGTGAGATCAGATGTGGTATATGTGATATTTTATTACATTCCCACTGTTACACATTGGTGAGATCAGATGTGGTATATGTGATATTTTATTCCATTCCCACTGTTACACATTGGTGAGATCAGATGTGGTATATGTGATATTTTATTCCATTCCCACTGTTACACATTGGTGAGATCAGATGTGGTATATGTGATATTTTATTACAGATGTGGTATATGTGATATTTTATTACATTCCCACTTCCCACTGTTACACATTGGTGAGATCAGATGTGGTATATGTGATATTTTATTACATTCCCACTGTTACACATTGGTGAGATCAGATGTGGTATATGTGATATTTTATTCCATTCCCACTGTTACACATTGGTGAGATCAGATGTGGTATATGTGATATTTTATTACATTCCCACTGTTACACATTGGTGAGATCAGATGTGGTATATGTGATATTTTATTACATTCCCACTGTTACACATTGGTGAGATCAGATGTGGTATATGTGATATTTTATTACATTCCCACTGTTACACATTGGTGAGATCAGATGTGGTATATGTGATATTTTATTACATTCCCACTGTTACACATTGGTGAGATCAGATGTGGTATATGTGATATTTTATTACATTCCCACTGTTACACATTGGTGAGATCAGATGTGGTATATGTGATATTTTATTCCATTCCCACTGTTACACATTGGTGAGATCAGATGTGGTATATGTGAGATCAGATGGTATATGTGATATTTTATTACATTCCCACTGTTACACATTGGTGAGATCAGATGTGGTATATGTGATATTTTATTACATTCCCACTGTTACACATTGGTGAGATCAGATGTGGTATATGTGATATTTTATTACATTCCCACTGTTACACATTGGTGAGATCAGATGTGGTATATGTGATATTTTATTACATTCCCACTGTTACACATTGGTGAGATCAGATGTGGTATATGTGATATTTTATTACATTCCCACTGTTACACATTGGTGAGATCAGATGTGGTATATGTGATATTTTATTACATTCCCACTGTTACACATTGGTGAGATCAGATGTGGTATATGTGATATTTTATTACATTCCCACTGTTACACATTGGTGAGATCAGATGTGGTATATGTGATATTTTATTACATTCCCACTGTTACACATTGGTGAGATCAGATGTGGTATATGTGATATTTTATTACATTCCCACTGTTACACATTGGTGAGATCAGATGTGGTATATGTGATATTTTATTACATTCCCACTGTTACACATTGGTGAGATCAGATGTGGTATATGTGATATTTTATTACATTCCCACTGTTACACATTGGTGAGATCAGATGTGGTATATGTGATATTTTATTACATTCCCACTGTTACACATTGGTGAGATCAGATGTGGTATATGTGATATTTTATTACATTCCCACTGTTACACATTGGTGAGATCAGATGTGGTATATGTGATATTTTATTACATTCCCACTGTTACACATTGGTGAGATCAGATGTGGTATATGTGATATTTTATTACATTCCCACTGTTACACATTGGTGAGATCAGATGTGGTATATGTGATATTTTATTACATTCCCACTGTGATACACATTGGTGAGATCAGATGTGGTATATGTGATATTTTATTACATTCCCACTGTTACACATTGGTGAGATCAGATGTGGTATATGTGATATTTTATTACATTCCCACTGTTACACATTGGTGAGATCAGATGTGGTATATGTGATATTTTATTACATTCCCACTGTTACACATTGGTGAGATCAGATGTGGTATATGTGATATTTTATTACATTCCCACTGTTACACATTGGTAAGGTTAGATGTGCTACTTTATTAGACTTGTACTCTGTGTCTTGTTATGATTTGCATGGAATATTAATGTTTAGATTTCACTGTCATCAGTACTATTTGAAAGTGTAACAGAATCGTGCCTATTGTCCTATCTTATGCAGAATTTATAGGAGATACATATGAAAAACATAATAAGAATCAGTTATGTTGATATAAACAGCTGATTGATAGTATCTTACAATCACGCTTTAATCAAATTTTGCTACAGCTAATGTAAAAATTGATAACGGGTATTAATTATACTTAATTTATGAATTGATAGATTGCGGAAGAAGTTTACCCATACATGAACAAAGAAGATACAATGTCACCTAGCGAAGCTTTATCTATGGAGATACAATACAACATTAGAGAACTTCTCAAGGGAGAGAACTATCTAGAACTTGAGCCAGACAAGGTTGTAATATATCTCAGTGAGCTGATGAAATACAAAAAACTGGCAAAAATGTGCAAAAGCAACATCATTTCTCTCAGGTATTCTACGCTTTATGCTGTTAAATCTTTGATGACAAAGTTTACCATACACATGTATATTTAAAGACACTGAATTTTTCAAGCTTTTTTACACAAATTATTTTAAGCAACAGACCAAAGTTTTATAGTTTTATTCTGATAAATTAGAACTAAATTTTCATTGGTCAACCAAGAAAACAACAACTTTGAAATTGTTTATAACAGCAAACACAAAAAATGAATGTTATGTTGAGCTGTTCAGTGACAGAATTCTGGCTGTCATCATAATGTTTGACACGTTGCATGTTGTCTAAAACATCATCCACTTCTATTACTGTGTATGATATATAATTCCTTAGATTAAAATCATAATTTTAGGATGCAAAATATTGAAAATGTCACCCTAAAAAGGCTACAACATGTCAGAGAGCAGTACCATGAAATGTTTCCAAATTTTTGTGAATGTTTCAATTTAAAAAATTCTCTATTGTCTTAACTTTTATCAATTTTGAAAATTCTCTATTGTCTCACTTTTTTCAGGGAACATTTTGTAGATAAGAATTTCGTACTGACGAAAGATCTCTCCGGAATCATTGTTTGTCCTACAGACTACTTCGAGACAAAAACGTTTGACCAGGACGATGATAATGAAGACTGGGATTTAGATGAACTGGATGGAAATACGAAAGAGAAGGAAGTGATGACATCAAGAAATCATATTGTCATAGACAGTATGCCTCCAGAGGAATGCTGGGACTAAATTATCATGGCCAAGTTGGAGATTTAACATGTGTCCAAGGCATTCTATGCATTTTGTGTAAGGTCATTCACAACAGTCAGTATTTGTATCCAGTATCAGAGGATATGTTAGCTATTAACATCTCCATTAGTGATGTTTATATACATGAAAATTATTTTCAGATATTTTTCAACTTTTTTAAATTCATTCCATTTATGACATAAATAATGTATTTTAAAGGAGTAGCATATGAAAAGAATTTTTTTGATATAAGTATTTTATTTTTTTACTCACTTTAGCGAAAGGGCTAAAAACTGGTTTACTTAAGGTCTATCACAGGAACAATATCTGTACATGAACTCATTAATTTTGAATTTCCTGACAAAATAAATTTTACTAAATTGACTCTGATAACAGTGAAGTGAGGGGTGTAACTCTCTTTGGAGCAGATGGGGCAATATATTTAACCTTTAGAGTATGGGAAAAGGGATTAAACCAGATGGACTATTAGACTTTCATGTAATTATAATGATGTAATTTGCATCTTAGTTTTTCACTGGCTGAAATATTTTCTTCTTTAATGACAATTCCTGGTAAAAGTTCTCTTTTTCTGGTCAATATTAAATGTTATTATAAGTGATCATCTCATAGTGTGGTTATTTAGCAGGTGTTATTACATTGCTATGTTGAATGAAGATATTTTTCAGTTATTTATTTAATTGTGGTCATTTTAAGCAAAACTGCTGAAGAGTTCCTCTCACATTCCTGACCAAATGTTATTATTGTTTCCAAGAAATCCAATACCAGAACTATAAGGAAACAACATGTATCAACTTCTCTTATTAGTTCAGATAACAAGTTACATTAATGAGTGGTTCAGACCTTGCAAGCATCTTGTTCATATATGTTTTGTTATTGAGACAATTCCTTGGAATTATTTGTTTTTCAATAAATTTATGTTCAAAATGGTAAACTACTTGTTGTAATATTTTCATACCCAATCAAAAACAGTCAAAACCAAATTAGAAAAACAAACTTATATATGCACTTTGTACATAATTACCATATTTTATTTTGTAATACAGAATATTGTAATACTTGTTTCTGCAATACAGACATATGTTGTGAACAGTAATAGATATACAGAAATTCAAGCACAAGGTGAATAATTGTATGTAAAACAGAGATGTTATGGTCAGCAGAACAGAAATTCATCTGGTAAAAATACCACAAAATCTAGTTTCACTTCAGGACTCCTTGTATTGGATGTTACCTCAGTTTTATCAGTAGAACTAACCTCCTGTATTGGATGTAACCACAGTTTTAACAGCAGAACTAACCCCCTGCATTGGATGCTACCTCAGTTTTAACAGTAGAACTACCTCCCTGTATTGGATGTTACCTCAGTTTTAACAGAAGAACTACCTCCCTGTATTGGATGTTACCTCAGTTTTAACAAAAGAACTACCTCCCTGTATTGGATGTTCTCTCAGTGTTAACAGTAGAACTACCTCCCTGTATTGGATGTTACCTCAGTTTTAACAGAAGAACTACCTCCCTGTATTGGATGTTACCTCAGTTTTAACAGAAGAACTACCTCCCTGTATTGGATGTTCTCTCAGTGTTAACAGTAGAACTACCTCCCTGTATTGGATGTTCTCTCAGTTTTATTGGATGTTACAGTTTTAACAGAAGAACTACCTCCCTGTATTGGATGTTACCTCAGTTTTATCAGTAGAACTAACCTCCTGTATTGGATGTAACCGCAGTGTTAACAGTAGAACTAACCCCCTGTATTGGATGTTCTCTCAGTGTTAACAGTAGAACTAACCCCCTGTATTGGATGTTATTTCGGTTTTAACAGAAGAACTACCTCCCTGTATTGGATGTTACCTCAGTTTTAACAGAAGAACTACCTCCCTGTATTGGATGTTACCTCAGTTTTAACAGAAGAACTACCTCCCTGTATTGGATGTTCTCTCAGTGTTAACAGTAGAACTACCTCCCTGTATTGGATGTTACCTCAGTTTTAACAGAAGAACTACCTCCCTGTATTGGATGTTACCTCAGTTTTAACAGAAGAACTACCTCCCTGTATTGGATGTTACCTCTGTTTTAACAGAAGAACTACCTCCCTGTATTGGATGTTACCTCAGTTTTAACAGAAGAACTACTTCCCTGTATTGGATGTTACCTCTGTTTTAACAGAAGAACTACCTCCCTGTATTGGATGTTACCTCAGTTTTAACAGAAGAACTACCTCCCTGTATTGGATGTTACCTCTGTTTTAACAGTACCTCCCTGTTAACAGTTTTAGAACTACCTCCCTGTATTGGATGTTCTCTCAGTGTTAACAGTAGAACTACCTCCCTGTATTGGATGTTACCTCAGTTTTAACAGAAGAACTACCTCCCTGTATTGGATGTTACCTCAGTTTTAACAGAAGAACTACCTCCCTGTATTGGATGTTCTCTCAGTGTTAACAGTAGAACTACCTCCCTGTATTGGATGTTCTCTCAGTTTTAACAGAAGAACTAACCCCCTGTATTGGATGTTCTCTCAGTGTTAACAGTAGAACTAACCCCCTGTATTGGATGTTCTCTCAGTGTTAACAGAAGAACTACCTCCCTGTATTGGATGTTACCTCAGTTTTAACAGAAGAACTACCTCCCTGTATTGGATGTTACCTCAGTTTTAACAGAAGAACTACCTCCCTGTATTGGATGTTACCTCTGTTTTAACAGAAGAACTACCTCCCTGTATTGGATGTTACCTCAGTTTTAACAGAAGAACTACCTCCCTGTATTGGATGTTCTCTCAGTGTTAACAGTAGAACTACCTCCCTGTATTGGATGTTACCTCAGTTTTAACAGAAGAACTACCTCCCTGTATTGGATGTTACCTCAGTTTTAACAGAAGAACTACCTCCCTGTATTGGATGTTACCTCTGTTTTAACAGAAGAACTACCTCCCTGTATTGGATGTTACCTCAGTTTTAACAGAAGAACTACTTCCCTGTATTGGATGTTACCTCAGTTTTAACAGAAGAACTACCTCCCTGTATTGGATGTTACCTCAGTTTTAACAGAAGAACTACCTCCCTGTATTGGATGTTCTCTCAGTGTTAACAGTAGAACTACCTCCCTGTATTGGATGTTCTCTCAGTTTTAACAGAAGAACTAACCCCCTGTATTGGATGTTCTCTCAGTTTTAACAGAAGAACTATCCCCCTGTATTGGATGTTACCTCAGTGTTAACAGTAGAACTAACCCCCTGTATTGGATGTTCTCTCAGTGTTAACAGAAGAACTACCTCCCTGTATTGGATGTTCTCTCAGTTTTAACAGAAGAACTAACCCCCTGTATTGGATGTTCTCTCAGTGTTAACAGTAGAACTAACCCCCTGTATTGGATGTTATTTCGGTTTTAACAGTAGAACAACCTCCCTGTATTGGATGTTCTCTCAGTGTTAACAGTAGAACTAACCCCCTGTATTGGATGTTATTTCGGTTTTAACAGTAGAACTACCTCCCTGTATTGGATGTTCTCTCAGTTTTAACAGTAGAACTAACCCCCTGTATTGGATGTTATTTCGGTTTTAACAGTAGAACAACCTCCCAGTATCGGATATTACCTCACGCCTTTTAATGCCCCCTGAGACCATAATGCACCCTTTGTCTAACTGACAATATTAAATCACACACGTTACTGTACCGGCCGACTGTACACCCGAACACGACCGTCCCTGTAACGTTCTTCCGACCGACCGTACATCCGAACACGCCCGTCATTGTAACGTTCTCCCGACCGACGGTACACCCTAAAACGCCCGTCACTGTAACGTTCTCCTGGCCGACGGTACACCCTAAAACGCCCGTCACTGTAACGTTCTCCCGGCCGACGGTACACCCTAAAACGCCCGTCACTGTAACGTTCTCCCGGCCGACGGTACATCCTAACATGACCGTCACTGTAACGTTCTCCTGGCCGACAGTACACCCTAACACGACCGTCACTGTAACGTTCTCCCGACCGACAGTACACCCTAACACGACGTCACGGTAACGTTCTCCCGACCGACGGTACACCCTAAAACGCCCGTCACTGTAACGTTCTCCCGACCGACGGTACACCCTAAAACGCCCGTCACTGTAACGTTCTCCCGGCCGACGGTACACCCTAAAACGCCCGTCTCTGTAACGTTCTCCCGGCCGACGGTACATCCTAACATGACCGTCACTGTAACGCTCTCCTGGCCAACGGTACACCCTAACACGACGTCACGGTAACGTTGTCATGGCCGACGGTACACGCGAACACGACCGTCACTGTAACGTTCTCCCGACCGACGGTACACCCTAACACGACGTCATTGTATCGTTCTCCCGGCCGATGGTACACACGGACACGCTATCACTGATATCAAGGTGAAATATGGATTCATCTGTGAATAGCACTTCAGATTTCTCTCTGTTGGTTAATCGCAGATGTCTCCTGCATTATGCCGTGTTTCGTCTCGCAGCTGAAAATGTCTCCACATAGCACTTATCGTATTACTGTTCAACCCCAACTGTTTCGCTACAGTATTCTGAGGTGTTCCGTCCTCTAACACGCCATTAGCACACAGACGTTCGTTTTCGCCCATACGTGATATGCTCCTAGCAAAATTCTTTGCGAAAAACAATGAGTTTCTGATAGAGTGCGTGAAATACTCATAAATACAAGAACTTTTAACTATTTTCTCAGCATATTTTGGAACATTTTCTTCAGGTTGGTATGATTTACGTTCTCTAAGCATGCGTTACCTTGGTTTGAAACTCGGAAAAAAGCCACGGAGCGTTGAAACGTATCGAAAGCAATGTTTAAAGTTGTTACCAGTCGAAAAAGTTTTCAAGACTTCAAAATTTTTTAAAATCATTAGCAAGAATAATGTTCTAATTACTTTTTTCTGGTATTTTTATGTGTGCACACTTTCTTTTCCCCGTTATTGTATATTGCGCAAACATGCATGCTTGCTCTCTTATTTATGACTACTCTAAGTTCCATGACTCAAGCAATATAGAACCTCAAAATATGCAAAGTATTTTTCTTGCCCGCGCCTGCATTTCTAATTGTTTTTTATAAGCTATGGTACGTAATATATATATATATAAAACCTTGAACCGGAACTCTATATCTTGGCAACATCCGTTACCCAAGATACATAATTTCCACTGCCAGACAAGCTTTATACCATTGCAAT